AAGGTGAGGAGGTACAAACGCGGATCGATCAGGAGAAAGGTTGGAGCACACGCGAAGAGGAGGAACAGCGCCAGTGCAACAGGATGTGAGGCGCCAAGGCGATGGGATGTGAGGCGCCAAGGCGACGGGATATGAGGCGCCAAGGCGATGGGATGTGAGGCGCCAAGGCGACGGGATGTGAGGCGCCAAGGCGACGGGGTGTGAGGCGCCAAGGCGACGGGAAATGAGGCGCCAAGGCGACGGGATGTGAGGCGCCAAGGCGACAGGATGTGAGGCGCCAAGGTGCCTAAGTGGGATGGCGGAACGGGGAGGCGTTAAGATGAGAAGATCGCGGAGGAAACGGGATGGCGGAAAGGCAAGGTGGGACGGCGGTTTAGGGGAGGAGGCGGAGTGGCGGACTGGGGAGGAGGTGGAAACGCGGACCAAGTGGTGACACAGAATCGTGCGAAGGTGGCGTGGTGAGAGGACGCAACGGGGAGGAAACAGGGTGGATGAGGTGAGGAAGTGGAATGACGGACTGGTAAGATATGGAAATGAGGATCAGCCAGGAGGTGGGATGGCGGAACGAGGAGGAAGAGAGATGGCGGAATTGGGAGGTGGGAGATTAGCGTGAGAAAGAGAAGGCAAGCTTGAAGGAAATATGTGATGTGGAGTCGAGGAGTGAATTCGAAGTTTCTGGAGAGAATTTACGAGAGCAAGTTTTATGGATCCAAATGAATTCGGAGAACTCGTACGGATGAGGTGTGGTCATGCTTTGCTTTTGGGGTGCTTCGGAAGAGATGCTTCTCAAGGGACAAAACCCACTTGACTAATTTCTTCCAGTACAACAACGCCACGCGACCAGCTCAGACGATTCATGAACCACGTATGAGGTGCTTTGCGTGGTATTAGTGCCACCTGAGCTGGAACTCGAATGAACCTCCCAGCCGAAGTAGACGAATCACTCGCCCAGCACTAACGGCCAGAAATGACAAAGTAGAAAAGCTCCAATGCCGTTTGGGCACGTGTGATTTACCACAGGGATAGAGATCAGCTAAAGTTCAATAAGGTCATATATCAATGTACACCATACATGTGGGTCACACATGTTGCAAAAGGATGTTAGGGCAATCTTTTCTAAATCAGCCATCTCTGAAAAAATCTGGTACGTATGGAAAATATCCTTAAATTTCAAACAAACAGACGAAAATAGTCAGATGTTGTCAGCTATGGCCACAGAGCAGTTCCCTGACGCCTCTGAGCTGCCCCGCTGGGCTGATCTACTTAAAAAGAACATTGATATCTTTGCTCTTGATTTTGATGCTATCCTTGGTGCTATGTATGCATTGACTATTAGTGTTGAGGGTGACTGTTACCCCGCTGCCCCGCTCCCCCCCCCCGCCACTCTTCCTCACCCCGGGTGTCCCGTCGGTAGACCCCCTCCCTCCCCAAGGTGCTTCTCCCTCAGGTGTTTCCCAGGTGGACCCGGTCGACCCTGTCGAGGTAGCTGTCGACTCTGGTCCTGCGAGGGTACTGAGCCTGGGGGTGCTGAGACAAGGGGTGTTGAGCCTGGGGGTGTTCCGTCTGGGTGTGTTGAGCATGGGGGTGCTGAGACTGGGGGTGCTGAGCATGGGGGTGCTGAGACTGGCGGTGCTGAGACTTGGAGCTTCTAGTGTTAGGGTGCTGCTCGCTGGAGGCCCTGCTGCTGCTGGAGGTACTAGTGCTGCTAGAGGTGCTGCTGGTGCTGGTCCTGCTGGAGGTGGTGCTGGTGCTGCTGGAGGTACTGGAGCTGCTGGAGCTGCTGGTGGTGCTACTGGGACTGGCGCTGATGGTGCGGCTAGTGCTGGTACTGCTGGAGGTACTGGAGTTGCTGGAGGTGCTGCTGGTGCTGGTCCTACAGGAGGCGTTGCTGGTGCTGCTGAGGGAGTTGGAGCTGCTGCTAGAGGTTCTGGTGCTGTCTCTGCTAGTTCTGGGGGCACTCCACGGCCGCAAACGTACTTCGTTCCGCTCCTTCAGCAGGTTCTTGGTCAGCCGCCTCCTCCTTGTCCTGCTCCCTCCTTAGACTGTCCTCCGCCTATCCTGTCGCAGTCACAGTTACAACCTGCCTCGCCACTCCCTGGTCCTTCTCCCTACACTGGTCCGACAGGCGGTCTTACGGAGCGTCGTGAGCCCGAGTCTCGTCCTGTGTCGCCTAAGTCTCGGTCTGTGTCACCTGTTCGTGCTGCTCGCACTGGTCGTCGTGTCCCACGTCAGTGTCCTCCTGCTGTCCCAGGCACTCACCAGATGGCGCTTCGTCCTTCCACTGCTCCACAGCGTGTCCTGCTGCCTTCTCCTCTTGCGTCCTCTCTTCTTGCCCTTGCTGACCCGGAGTCTGACTCTCTTCATGCTACTAGTCCTACTGTCACGCGTCTCCTGGCCACTACTGTCACTGACCCTTCCTTTGAGTCACCTGCTGCGTCTGCCTTAGTTGCTGAGCTTGTCGACTTTAATGCTCACTGTCGTCTAGACTACGATGCGAGTCTTGTTGCTAAGTTTGAGTTTGAGTCTGTCTCTCCTCCGTCCGTCGGGGGTAAGTGTGCTCTTGGCACGGACGTCCTTGAGGACAGGCAGGAGGAGTTTGAGTGCTTTGCAGCTGCTGTACCTCATCTTGTAGCCATGCTGCTTGCACCTGAGGGAGACCCGGATGCTTCAGACATCCCGACCCTGCGCTCTTACGCTGAGGCGATCGCGGGTGAGTACTCCTCCCAGTGGCATTCAGCCATGGACACAGAGATGGCATCTTGGAAGTCCACTTGCACTTACGTCGATGAGGTTCCCCCTCCTGGGGCGAACATCGTCGATGGCATGTGGATTTTCAGGGTGAAGCAGCCGCCAGGTTCTCCGCGTGTCTTCAAGGCTCGTTACGTTGCTCGAGGCTTCAGAGAGCGAGAGGGAGTAGACTTCTTCCAGACCTTCTCCCCCACCCCGAAGATGACCACTCTTCGGGTGCTGCTGCACGTTGCCGCTCAGCGTGACTACGAGCTTCACTCTCTTGACTTCAGCACAGCTTTCTTGCAGGGCAGCCTGCACGAGGAGATCTGGCTGCGCCGCCCTCGTGGCTTCACTGGGTCGTTTCCTTCTGGTACCCAGTGGAGCCTCCGGCGGCCGGTCTACGGTCTGTGCCTGGCGCCACGTGAGTGGCACGACACACTAAGGACTACATTTGCAGCTCTTGGGTTCGCGCCTTCTACTGGTGCCCCGTCGCTGTTTCTGCGCACCGACACTTCACTGCCGCTGTTCTACATCCTCGTGTACGTCGACGACTTGGTCTTTGCCACTGCTGACACTGAGGCTCTCGCCCACCTGAGTCGGAGCTGCAGAAGAGACACACTTGCACAGACCTGGGTGAATTGTGCAGCTACCTTGGCTTGCAGATCACCCAGGACAGAGCACGCCGCACCATCACACTGACTCAGTCACACATGGTGCAGCAGGTCCTTCAGCGCTTCGGCTTTACCTGGTCCTCGGCACAGGCCACTCCTCTGGCTACAGGTCACTCGCTCTCAGCTCCACCTTCGGACGAGTCTGTAGAGCCGAGTGGTCCTTACCCAGAGCTAGTTGGCTGCCTCATGTACCTGATGACCTGCACTCGTCCTGACCTCGCGTACCCTCTTGGCCTTCTGGCTCGCTACGTGGCTCCTGGTCAGCACCGATCGGAGCACATGGCTGCTGCTAAGAGGGTCTCGCGCTACTTGTGCAGTACATCGGGCATGGGGCTCGTGCTTGGAGGGAGGAGCTCAGTTGTTCTCACTGGGCACTCAGACGCTTCTTGGGTTGACGACCAGGCTACTCAGCGGTGGTCACAGGGTTACACCTTCAGCCTTGGCTCTGGTTCGACGTTCGCGTGCCTCCACAGAACTCGACGAGCATGTTACTTGGTCGACCACCAGTGCGCGCCATGGTCGACGAACCCCTCAACGACCACCGCGCCCGTCGAACTACTCTGGTCGACAGATGGGCCGTCGACCAGCAAGATCAGCTGCAGTTGCCAATCTCCAGTCCTCAACAGCTGCCCACAGGTCCCACGTAGGTCGACTAACTGCTTCGTCGACCTCCCCTGTCGAACTAGACCACCTGCTCCTACCGACGGCGGCATCGCAGAGGTCGCCTGCAGGTCGAAAACCCCATCGAACATCAACCCGAACCCTGCTGAATAGTCGGCCGTAGTATTTGTGCCCGACCAGAAAGTCAGCGTCGCCCAAGCGAGCACGGGGTAAACAATACATTCCAGCTACGGTAACATCACATATGCCTATATTTTGCATAACTTCCTGTACGCAAACGTTTGATGCAACATAATTTCCTACCATGTACACATTTTTTTTCCGCACATACGTTACTGTTCTTTCAAACTGTAATCATGTGCAAGAAATTTGTCTCCAATAATGGGAACACAAGGATTTAAACAAATACTACTTTTACAACTGTTTAACAATCCCACCTGCCAAGTAACAAATATCGCAGCAACTTATGTACAAAGCGTTTCACATCCGAACCTGGTAATCTCACCCATGCCTGCGCCAGACCTGCCATTCAAGACTCGATCTGCCAGCACGTGCCAAACAAGATGAGAGAATGCGTGACTCGAAATTGAGTTCCGCAGCTTTGCAAGTTTCGACCAATCGAAAGTGTCCAGCAATGCATTCTTTCAACTCAACCTACACCCTCCGAAACACATGAGCACGATCCTACTTCCGTTCAACTTGATTTCGGAAGTTGGTTCTTTTCCGGTGTCCGTGTTTACCCGAATCGCATGCGCTCACCCGCCGGGGCCCAGGGGGGATGAGACGGAGTGAGGCGAGGGGGGGGGGGTTCACGCTTGCCCCGCACGTCGGCCCACTCGCTCTCGCAAGGAGGGAGGCCATCCCCGTCGCCCTGATCGTCGTTCTCGCTTGCCCTCTCACCCCCCTCCACTGTGTCAACCTCCCGTGCCCTATCCGCCCGTCGTGTCCCAGCATTGACTCTCGTCACACTCTCGTCCCATGCCCCACCCTCCTTCGCGATTACAACTCACCAGCTCGGGCACCTCCCTCCATCCCCTCCCCCACCTTACTCCCTTCCCTCGCCTGGTGGACAGGCCGCCCTCTCACCACTTATCACCCTCCCTTCCGTCCTCGCCTCCCTCCTTTCCTCCACATACACCCCTCTGTTCCCCCGCTTACCCCCCCCCACCCCTCTTTCTCCCACAATCACCCTTGATTTCCCCCACTTACTGCTCTCCTTTCCCCGACGCCCTTGCATGCACCGTCTCCCTCACTTTCCCCGTCTCCCCTACTTTCCCCGTCTCCCCTACTTTCCCCGTCTCCCCTACTTTCCCCGTCTCCCCTACTTTCCCCGTCTCCCCTACTTTCCCCGTCTCCCCTACTTTCCCCGTCTCTCCTACTTTCCCCGTCTCCCCTACTTTCCCCGTCTCCCCTACCTTCCCGTCTCCCCTACTTTCCCCGTCTCCCTCAATTTCCCCGTCTCCCTCCCTCATTCTCCCCAGCTCCCCCCCACCTTCTTCTTTGCTTACTTCCATGCTCTTCCCTGTTTTCCACAATCCTCTGCCCTGCTTCCCCCCACCCCCTGCCCAGCTTCCCCCCACCCTCCCTCCTGATTCCCCCCATCCTCTGCCCTCCTCCCCCCCAACCCCTGCCCTGCTTCCTCCCCCCCCTTTCCCACTTCCTCCCACCCTCTGCCCTGATTACCCCCACCTTCTGGCCTGCTTCCCTCCAGGGCAGAGGCACACGCCAGGTGAGCCCAGGGGATGAGATGAGGGGATCAATGGGTGAGAACCACACGGCAGGTGGGGCTGAGGGGAGTGAGAGGGATATGATAGCTGAAGGCCAGCCAGATCCCAAGAGCAAGCAATTGCTGCTGCATTTGTTGTGCTGCCATTTTCCCCCCCAATCCCGTCCCCTGCTCGTGCCTCTCACATCTCCCTCCGCTCCCTCCCATGTGCCCTCTTTACTCTCCCTCTCCATAGGTCCCTCCACTCCCTGCACATGTGCCTCTCCTCTCCCTGCTTTGCATTTCCTTTGCCTCTTCCCCCCTCCTGCTCCTCCCCTCCCACATCCACCTGCCAGGAGGACGACCTAGAAGCCTCGCACCAGGGAGACGACAGCAAGGTGCTGGACGCGAAATGTAATGTTATTGAATTGTGGTTACCGTCACCCCCCGGATATAAGCGCCACCCTAGGATAAGCGCCTGGCGCTTCTAATTGGCATATGGCGCTTATATCCCCTCCTCGATTATAAGCGCATACCCTAGAGTCGTACGGATTATAGCCGCATACCTGTACCTTACACATTATAACTGCCACTTTTTAAAAAAAAAAAAAATTCTACACGCTTCACTAACCACATTAACATTGTATATTTTCATCTAATTAATTACAAAGTCAATTTGTCTAAAGTTTTTTCTAATTATAGTTCTAAATCTACCTACGAGTCTCACAGGCTACAACAATTTCTAGATCTACGTAATCTAGTCATCAGCTGCGGTAGGATCATCCGGGTCGGCCTCAGAGTCCGACTCTGGTTCTTCTACGTTGTTGCAGAAAAAGCCATCTGCTGCAATGTCGTCGTCGATGTCTATTTCGTCGCCCTCAAGCTCGTCGCGCCTGTGTTGCAGGCACATCTTGTCCTGGGACCCATCCAGGGCGTTACTAATGCCACAGGTGAGGAAAGCCCGTTGAATCAAGTCCCTGGGCACGGCCTTCCAAGCCGCTGATATCCACTTGAGCGTTAGCTCGGGTGGTGGCTTCTTGATGTTGCCTGCCATAAAATTTAAACAATCAAAAGTCAGCCACCGCTACAAACTGTTAAAGCAGCACACGCATGGCCTGCCTCTCTCACCTTTCTTTGTCAAGGTGTCGACCCCCTCGCTCTCGAACCACTCCTGGTAGAGCTGGCGAACGGATGCCTTGAAGGAGCGATTCACCGCGACGTCCAGAGGTTGAATCTCCGAGGTGCAGCCAGCTGGGATAACGGCAGGGACGATGTTCAGCTCCCTGAACTTCTTCTTCACCTCCGCAGTCAGGTGCCCGCGGTACGAATCCAAGACGAGCATCGCTTTGCGGGGCCTCACTCTGAACTTGGGGTGGACGAACGGCTTCACTGCCCCGTCGAGCCACTCGATGACTCCGTCCGCGTCCATCCAACCGTTGGGATGGATGGACACCGTAACATCTGCACAGCCATAAACGCACGTACAACATCAGTAGACATAGAAAAAAAAAAAACATGCAGCAGTGGGTGTTAATGCTCACCTGAAGGGAAATCCCCTTTAGGCAGGGTCTTCCGTTTGAAGAAGACCCACGGCTTCAGCTTCTCACCGCTGGCAGTGCAGGCGAGCATCACCGTAACTCGCTCCTTCTGATAGCCGCCGCTGCGGATAGGCACAGAGCGCAGACCCACCTCCTCGACTGTGCGTTCGGCAGGCATCTCGAGCCACAGTGGTGTCTGGTCCGCGTTTATTATCCACTGCGGGTCAATCTTGTATTGGCGGCGGGTGTGACGCACGAACTTCCAGAAATTCCTGACGTCAGTCTCGCAGTCTGGGAGTACGGGTGGGAGGGAAAGAGAGAAGAGAGTATTAATGACGCGTTAAAATTCAACCGTGAAACATAAAGAGACAAACAACACAAAGCAGTACACATTAAACTGCAACCATTTCCCACAAAACTCACTGGCAGCAAGCTTCTGGCCGACCCTGGTCTTCGCTCGGGTTGTCAGATTCCAACGGCGGCGAAACCGCTCAGTCCACCGCTGCGAGCCGGACCACTTTACCTGTGGGTGCAATTCTTTCATCACCTCATGCGACCACTTCTGTAGGCGAGCAATCGAGACCGCGAGACATTTTTTACGGTGGGCAAGAAACCTCCTCTAGACTTCAGCTTCCATGTCGCGATACCACGAGCTCCTTCCGCGCCCATGAAGACGCTTGCGAGCAGCATGCGCGCCCTCCAGGTCAGCCTTCCGGGTCTTCCATTCTGCGAGTGACCTTCGGGAGATGCCGGTTTGGCGAGACATCTGCCGCACGCTCATGTGCCCGGACTCAAGCTTGAGAATCCACTGCAGTTTCTCCTGCGATGTGTAAGAGTGCCGCTTGTGACTTGAAGGCTTGTGCCTGGGGGAGGGAGGACGGGCATCGCGATTCTCGCGAGAAGGGTGGGGCCGTTTCTTATTGGGGGGGGGGAAGGTGGGAATAGGCAGGTGCTCTGGAAGACCGTCGGCAGCCCAAAACTCCACGTCATCCTCCGCACCAGTCGCGGATTCGTCCAACGGGCAATCAGCCGGGGCTCCCCAGCGTGGCGACGGTGCGGAGGAAGACGATGCGCCACCGGCGCGGTCGGGCTCGGACAGGTACGCGTCAAACGCCGAGTAGCCAGGAGGGAGGAGAAGCTGCAGGACCCCCTGACGTGGAGCACAAAACACAGGCGGGTCAGGAGGGGACGGAGGAGCTGGAGGAACCGGAGGCGCCGGGGGAGCGGGAGGTGCAGGAGGAGTTGGGGGAGTGGGAGGAACGGGAGGAGCTACTGGTTGACACGGAGGGACGGGCGCAGGGCGCGACTGCCATTGAGAGTAGTCACAGGTGTCTCGGCGGGTGTTTTCTCTGGCAGCAGGATGGCGGCGGAACAAGAAATGCGTGCCTGGAAGGCCCGCCATGGCCACGGCAGGCCAAACGAACAAAGAAACTGAAGGCAAAAGTCGAGAATGAGGGCTGTATGAAGCCCTCGCCCGAGACCCCTTCATTTTCGCGGCCCGGCCTCCTCTGCGGGAAAAGGGTGGCCCCAGTCAAGATTCCCCGCAGAGGAGCTGAGCTGGGCAGCTCCTTGCCTCGGTGGCGGGGAATTTTGCTGTTGATGGGCACACCGTGGCTGAACCACGACGTGCCCACGATCGCATGCAACCCTGATTGGGCCGCTGTGATGCGAGGTACGTGTGCACTGGCATGGGCCAGGTTCACGTTCGATGAACCTGGCCTGGCCAACAAGGCGTGGAAGGCGTGAAGCCACGCCTTGTTGGCTGTTTCACACGCAATGCATGCACAGTTTCGAACGTTCTCGACCCAGGTGAATCCGCGTTTGAGAATGCTTCGATTTGGTATATTAAAAAACAAATTTCAAATTTGACAAATTATAAACGCCGGCGCTTATAAATTTACTATATTATAAGCCCACCCCCTCAAAAAAACATGTTATATTATAGCCCCCCATGGGGGTATATCCGGGGGGTGACGGTATTTGTTTTCACTATAATATACATTCAGCAGTTCCTGCCGTGCCGATAATTTGGGCATACCCTAAGTTTTGTATTATAGTCATCTACACATCCATAACCAGATATGTTTTCAAGGGGCTATGCATTGTGTATGAAAATTGTGAGGTACGGTACCTATACCGCGTGAGAGTTTCGCCCCCACCAATTCCAACCAATCGCAAGGACGGAAGTGGTGGGATGGGGTGAGAGTGACGCCCCCACCAATTCCAACCAATCGCAAGGACGGAAGTGGTAGGGTGGGGCGAGCGGGGTGTTGAGTCGCACGTTGAATCGCTTCCACCCCCTTCCCTTCGATGTTCGGGAATAGCTGTCGCAATGTTGTTCCCGTTCGCCTGATTCCTCGCCGCCTGATTTCGCTTTCGCCCCGCCCTGATTCTCGAAGTTCTTGTTTTACCATGCTGACCTCGGGCTTTAATGACCTAACCAGGTAAATCACTATCTAGGCAATTATATAAAGTAAAAATCATTCGGGCAATAATTGAGTGCGCCATGGTCTTCAGTCTTCTGGGCCAAGTCTTACGCCGACATGAAACGCTGGGAAGTCTCATTTGAGGTTAGAGACTGCTGCGATCAGAAATTGATCGTAACCAGGATCACTTCAGGAAGGTTCGCACGCTTCTCTTCTAGTGGTGGTGGGCCCTTCACCTCAATAGCAGGGTGAATGTAAAATGCTTGAGATGATTAAAACATGCAAATACAACAAATATAAATACGAGTACAGGGAAGACGAATCGACCTAGCTAGCCATGTACTCTAAGGGGTACATTCCCTTATTCATATTCATTCCCAACCGTGCGGCGCGTACAGTTACGAAACTGTCCCGCCCAGATTCCTCTTGCCTGCAGCTGCCGCTGCCGTCTGCTTCTGACAGTCCAGATGCATCCCAAACGTATGACGTTTCGAGTCAACTCTTGACTCTTGACATTCGTTCTCGATACTGCGTGCTTCTTTAGCTGCGGTCGGGAGTGCACTGCAACCTTCATTACTATTTGTAACACCCCCCTTCACTCCTGGGCGCAGCTCGATTTGACCTGCTTGACCACTCCGCTGAGTTCGGAGCAATGCTGATACTACTGGCGCGGCAGTCGCTTTGTGAGAAAGTCTGCTGCCATGTCACTGGTCGGGCAGTAGGTCAAGTTAACCTTGTCTTTGTCCACTTCGTCCTTCACGAAGAAATACCGCAGCGCAATGTGCTTTGTGCGGTTGACGAAACCAGGATTGTTCGCGACACGGATCGCGCTCTGGTTGTCGCAGTGAAGACGAAAGGCGGACGAAGCTGGAATTTTTGCCTCCTGCAGAAGTTCTTGAAGGTAGAGGCCTTCGCGAACTGCTGCGGTCACTGCGATGAATTCTGCTTCGGCTGATGACACGGCAACGAATTCCTGCTTCTGCAAATTCCAGGAGATTGGTCCCATTGGTTCGAGTCGGAACAAGAAGCCAGTCCTGGACCGTCGATTGTCGGGATCTGCTGCGTGATCGTGTCAAACATTTATCATATAGCTTGTTTAGGCTATAGTGGGATAGACACTAAGGGGAACAACTTCCTAGGGTTTCCTACTTGTACCCAACCTTGTGCTAGTTCGTTCATTCCTCTTTCTTCACATGGTATAGAGCGGGTTCCCTAGTGGGACCGTTTCTTCCTGAGGGCCCACCATTAATATATTTTTTTTCCTAACCTGCCCGAAGCGCGCTTCGCGCTCTGACCTGCCCTACCCTTTCGCGGCCCCTTAGCGGCCTGCCCTGCTCCTGAGGCCCGTTGCGCCCCCCCCTTCGCGGCCCCTTAGCGGCCCCTTAGCGGCCCCTTTGCGGCCCCTTTGCGGCCCCTTAGCGGCCCCTTCGCGGCCCCTTTGCGGCCCCTTCACG